TAATAACAAGAATTTTCCATAAAATTGGACGAATTTGGTTCAACTTCCAAGTTTTGAAACTTGTAAGCAATTAACAGAACTGTTGGAAGCAGATTTGGTCTAAACGTGAAGAAATTTAGGTAGCATATTTACAGGTAAAAACATGCCTGGATAACTCTACATACTGACATATCACAAAGCAGGATCAACTTTCTCCAGCCATGGAAAATAACTTGAACTATTATAAGCCATTTATGTCTTGTAACCTAAAAACAGAATTCTGGGAATCAAATGACTCAAGATTCCCTTAAGAAGTGAGATTAGATGCCAATGATTTAGGGGATTTGGATAATATAAGCCATACCAGTAAAACTCAGCATACAAGAGCAAAGGGTTGTGTAGAAGATCTGATTGTGTATGTCCATATCATATCCTTTAAAAAGTTTATCCTGGAACGTGCTTGTAAACCCATCAAACCTGGAATTACAAGTGATAAGTTACACGCTGGTGGAAAATAAAATTGCAATTGCTAACTTCTTAAATGAATTATTTAGGATGTAAAACCGCATCAGACATTCAACAGGTTGAATAATATAACTCAAAAACAGCAAATCAGTAAATTAAAACAATACAGAAGCAAAAGATTGGTGTGCTATAATTTTCTATACACCATTATCAATAATATCATCTGATGGGACATGTAGTATGCAATGGCAGTCTGCAGTTGCATGTGTTCAACATGACTGCTTGGGACAACTAGTTTCAACAGAAACGGAGCATATGCACACAAACAACATCCAGTCTTTGGCGATTGTACTAGAATTGCTCCTACTAAATACCCAAACAGTATAGAAGAAACTGGGATAGCCAGGACTATTACTTGTCATGAGAAAAGTGATCAGAACTTTGAGCTCAGCAGACAAATTGAGTTGCAGCCAATGCCCATCTTTCAGAAAGGAGGGAAAAAAGGAAGCGAAGAGGCAGATGGAGGGTGAAATTGGTAGCAATGGACTGAGCTCTGATTTTCATGAGAGAGAGAGAGAGAGAGAGCAACCCACTTCTAGCGTGCCACATTTCATCTTATTTTCTTGGGCATATCAGCAAATGGTCAATCCATTGCTATCAAAAAACTTCTTAAAAAGCAAACAGACTTTCTTCTCTGAGTTAACTATGCCTCTCTCCCACTAAAACCAAATTTGAACAAAACAGTGCACTAGATTAATCTCAGTCCAAGTGTTTTAAAAATTCTTCTTTTGAACATGTTGAATGACACTTGCTGCATTCTAAGCTCCACTACAAAGGAGAACTATAGGAAAAAGGAAAGTAATACATGATCATTGACATACAAAAAAAGCCATTAACCTGCCTATTAAGCTGAAGTAGATCACTGACAGACCCACTCCTCACATGCTCACGCACATGGCATCCAGCATAAATTCAAAAATAAAAATCAATCTCCAGAGGCCACTTGACAACTTTATTTCAATTAAAAACTTATGCTTATGAAAAAGCCTAAGGCCCCTTTTTGGAATGGATAATGTAAGTTTAGAATTACATACCCCAAATAACCAATCATCAGGGAGACACCCCAAACTGTGCTTTCCCTTCCTCTACTGTAAGGACTAATATCGCCTGCTGCCTACAACAAAAAGAACAACATTTTTAAATAGCTGCATCACACAATCAATACAACATTAGCACCTAGGATCCTCTGGATAATATATGATACTAAAAACCTGGTATATTATTCATCAAATGAAGGTATCGTGGTTTTTCTACAGCCAATACTTAGCCTTCACAAGTTAGTTATGAATAGAACTTAAAGCCCAAGAGAAAGAATCTGCAAGAAACTTAGATGCTTCAAGCATGACAAACAGCAATATATTAAGAACCACCTATTACAGCCAAATATCCTGTAGGCTTCCACATGAATCTCACATTACTATTAGTAATGAGTAATTTTATAGCTAACATAATGTGATGGAGTGCTGGCAACATATAAGACTGTTTTGCCTATGCATGAACAAGTTTTCAGTAAGTTTAAGTTGATTTTCTCCCTAATGCAATTGTTTCCTTGCGACACTTTCCTTGAAGCCATGAGAACAGAAATGTTTAAATTGTGTACAAAATATAACTTTAAGTAAAGATTCAAAAGCTAAAATCCTTCAGGTAAATTTAAGACCTGATTGGACAGCCCGGTACTTGACAGGTTCCTAACACAGATTCAATGATGTAATAGCAACTGCTTTCAGTCAAGTAGAAATAAAATCCAAGGATCTTTAACTGAACATTCGGGTATCGTTAATGCTACTTCATTTAAATTGGCAGCATAAAGGAGAGCTGAAGTGTTAACATTCATTAGCTTCTCTAGTAGGGTGGTTTATGATGTTGAGCTCATATTGCATTTATCCTGCATATGCAAGGATAAAATAATACACCAAAAGATGATTAGGGATTTGGCAATAGTTGTTACCGGAAACAGAATAAATATTGAACACCCAACTGTCACCAGGAATGCCAATGCATAATCTTTGATATAGTACTTCTTTTGCATTATGATAGAGCCCCAAAGCTGCACAGTAACACGAGGAAATGCAAGGAGAAAGGGAAAACGTTAAGCAAAATATTAGAACAGATAATGTCAAAAGCCAAATATTACTACAAGAACTGCAATACAAAGAAGCAGAGAAATAATGAATTTACATGCAAGGATATTATGAAGTTAGCCCAAACCAGCAACTTAATATTACCAAGGAAACACATTTTGCCTTGATTGAACCATCCATATAAGAGTCTTACATTAGAAGCCAAAGAAATATCGATATACAAGACGTCATAACAATCTATCAAAATCAGCAGGTACAAAAAGAATACAAAATCAGCTGCCAGGCTAAAGCAGAAAACCAAAGCTCTATGATGGACATTAAGCTGGAAAAATGGTTGATGACAACTTTTGAAGTGTATTTGCTTGTGAAGAAAATGAAACTAAACCACAGGATTCATGTGGTCGAGATTGACTAGACAAGAATCAAACTATAACTTAAATTCTGCCAACGTGGAAGAAGAAAATATTTGCCACTAGCAGAGATAAGGTGCCAGCTCAATTTCACCACCACCAAGAAAACCAAGAAGAAATGACAAAGGATCAACAAAGCCAAAGAATATAGTACCACAGAGAAGTTTTAAATTCTAGAAAATATGATAAAGATGCCAAACTGATACAACACGTAGGATTAACTTACCATGACAGGTATCATTTTAGCACATTTAGCCAGTGTCTGAACAGGAAAACTGACGTATTTAAGGGCCTGGAGTGAGCATATATCAGAAACACTTACAAGCATTAGATACCTCTGACGTATTTAGACTGTATTAATTTAATTTAAATCTATAGGTAGAAGAATGCATTCTTTACTTTTTCTCTTCAGAATAAAAAATTCAGTATGCGAGGATACTTGTGGCAAGAATGAAATGACTTACCTCATACTGACATGTTGTTGTAAGTATGTTAGACACAGAAACAACACAATACTTGTATAACGGAGCCACGGGGTCCAAAAACTTTTTACTTACCTGAGAGGAGATAAAATACAGAGTGATTTTTCAGCAAAGAAAAAACAAAAACAACACCACAAAAAGGAGGTCTCAAGGATGTGCATCACTTCTCAGACAACACGTGTCAGAAATTCTTGCATAACTTGGTAAATAACATGTATCTTAAGCTTCGGAAACTTGCACTGCATACTTTTCCTCACAGCAGGCAAATAAGGTAACAGAAAATGATGGAACAATGTTGCAACTGCAGGGTTCAATTTGAACACTCCTATTTTCCAGTCAGGCATTAAGCAAACAAATCACTTGAGCACTAGATGGGCTCTTACTAATAAAACTCCAGCTGAAACGGCAGAAGTTGAAATTCGATTGCAGAAGACAAGAAACAAGGAATATCTGAAATATTCTTTGTGAGGCCCATAAGGAACTCTCATGATCTTTTCCTGCATGCACAAAAAACCAGAATAACATTATTGAAACACAATGAAACAATGAACGCATAACAGTTACATTTCAAACAAATCTCAAATAAAGAAGGCAAACCATATTTGCAATCATCGTCAGCAAAACATGACCAAATAACATTCTGCAAGGTGACACTTTATTCAGAAATGTTCCTAGCCACAGAGGATTACTATCCCCAATAGCTCTCATTGCCACATGTCTTGATTACATTTCTCTAATTTCCAATGAAATATATTAAAGTAGGTAAAGACATCAATAAATTGACAAAGCAACGACCTGTCATGGAAAGGATTTGATTCCAAATCTGCATCTTTCTAAAGCAAGGTGATCAAAAGACTGTAAAGTGCTTCACACTCCCATTTCACAAAATAAAACACGGTGACTGTAAAATTTTTTGAGCTTTCGGCCAACCTTGACAAAGCAAAACAACACAGTCTACGAGTGCTCCATGTGTTGCCTACCAACAACTCATGTCTAATTCTATCCAATCAGGAAAAACAGCTCAAAAGCACCTATTTTTCCCATAAGAATACCATGTAACTAATTCTAACCAACTTCGCCTTCTCATTTCCACCTCAAAGACGCACATATGCACACACACAGAATTAAATCCAAGAACATTTGAACAAAATCAAATTTAAAAAAACATTTGAATCGAATACGAAAGCTGGGAAGATAAACTAATCACTAAAAAGCCGATACCTGTAAAACACCATAAATAACGACGTCGAAATGATTCCAGTTACGGCGAATATTCCTTTCAACAGCTTGTTATCTTTCGCCGGTAGCGGTGACGAAAGTGACGGCGGCTCCGCCATATCCCATCCACTCCCTCCTCCACCTCCTATTCACCAAATCACACATAAAAAAGGATTAAAATTATCATTTCAATAAACTGGCAAGAGTATAGGAGAGCGTGCAGAACGTCGTCGAACCCTCAGGCATATAATATTCTGTCTCTTCCTGCTGTAATGCATACTGTGTTTTTTCTTCCTTCAATCAGTTATGACCAATCCACAATGCGTCTCCATAACAACGGGTGTTCAATTTCTTGTAGGTACAGGAGAAAGAGGGAAAATCTGGTTGAAAGGACAGCAATTTCTCGTTTGCCGACTAAATGGGGTTTATTTCAGGCTTACTGTTATCGCTCAAAGCTTGATGGAACAGAACATATAGCAGTTGTAAAGGTAAACGAACTACGATTTGCAGAAGAAGGAATCCCAGTTTGATCATCATAGTTTGTTTAAAGCCTCCTTTGTCCTTTAAAAATTTACAGGGGGAAATTGGAAATGGTCAAGAAGTCCTAGTAAGGGTTCACTCTGAATGTTTGACAGGGGATATTTTTGGGTCAAGGCGATGTGATTGTGGAAATCAGTTAGACCTGGCAATGCAGTTAATTGAGCAAGCCGGCAGGGGAGTTGTTCTCTATCTCCGGGGCCACGAAGGGAGGGGTATTGGCCTAGGTCACAAGCTTCAGGCCTATAACTTGCAAGACCAAGGCCATGACACTGTGGAAGCCAATCTTCAGCTTGGTTTTGCAGCAGATGTACGCGAATATGGGATAGGTGCACAGGTCAGTTCAATACTTAATGATCTCTTCTCCAACAGATGCTTGTTTCTTGAGGCTAAATTCTACAAGGCTTTAGTTTCAAATACTCCCAGTTTCATTAGCACTAATAACGATGAAGCTTTTTGACAAATGATTGCAACAGATACTACGTGACATCGGAATTCGTACCATGCGCCTAATGACTAACAACCCGGCCAAGTTCATCGGTCTGAAGGGCTATGGTTTGGCAGTTGTTGGACGGGTTCCAGTTTTGACTCCCATCACCGAGGAAAACAAGAGGTATTTGGAAACTAAGAGAGCAAAGATGGGGCATATCTATGAATCCGGCGAACGAGGACTATTGGATGCATTTATTAACCCAGATATTGATGAAAATGATCCTCCTGAGGAAAACCAGAGAAAATGAATGATCACTTTGGTTTCATATAAAAGCTCCTCTCCACTTTGTGGTTTTCTGGGTCCTTTTTTTCGTTTTTATGAAATAGTCATTGTTGAAAATCATTGATCTTCTGTATGTATTTACTGCAGAAATTTATTTGATCACTTCAGGTTCACAGATACAAAAGAGATAATAAATCCTCTCGGGGAATGTTACCACGAATTTACTTCTTTATGATCATTTTCCTGCTTGAATCTTGGAAGCTTTCTGATTCAGTAAACTTCAGAAGTACGAACTTTCAATCTGTCAAGCACTCAGAAATAGAAAATAGCCCACACTGTACTTGAGAGCCAGCCAAGGCAAGTTATAGGTATAACTTTCAAGTTTAAAGCCCTGTTTCCCGGAAAGATAGAAGCATGCAAGTGATTGAAACAGCGCTAAACTAGAAGAAAAATGTTCTAACATATCCTTTTCATACAGTGGCGAGAGTAGACGTGCAAAATCCTGTCTAAGGATCATGTCGTTCAAGAAGCAATATCACTGTGCAGCGAGAGAGTTACGGCAGTTACAGAAACAAAAAGTTGAAACCCATTGATCTACAACCAACAGTGGATTTAAGATGCAATCTAAATTCTCAACGTGTCATATTACAAGACAAATTGGTCTTGATTTTCTTGGTGGTTTCGGCGTTTTCTTTTGGCAGTTTCTTCCTGTATCAATTCAGCTTTTGAGACAGGCGTGTATGTACAACACTACAGGCTGATCTTACAAGATCATCAGAAAGAATTGACATCCTTTTTGTTTTGACTATCAGCACACGGGACTAGTGGGGAGGCCTGCTAGTGATTTTCTGTATACTTCGGTGTATTCAACAAACTTTGGCCACAAAAATGTTTCTGGTCCCATTCTGATGCTATGTCTTTTTCTCGAAAGATTGTCATATGTCATTTAACAGTTCGTCTCACCTTCTCGTATTAAAAAAGAATATCCAAGGTCTATCATCCCACCGGGTGCTTCTTTCAATCATGATGGTTCATTCCCTTGGATGACCAACATCAATGGCTATTTGAGTTTCCATCCTCTGTAGAAGTTTGCAATACGTGGGATCGAAGAATTTGGTAGTTTTCTGCTCTATCTTGACTGAATTCTTCCCTGCTCAAAGTTTCTAGCAACGTGTACACGGATACCGTGTGTTCCTGGTGCGTTGTTAGATTAAAGACGTATGATCTGCATAGTGGGCAGCTGGAATGAGTCTGAAACCAAGTATCAATGCAGGAGACATGAAATACATGAGAACAATGTGGTAAATGCTTCAGCGATTCACCTTCTTCAAACTCCCCCAAACAAACTGCACAATCTGTAATTCCTTTACAGGTTTCCTCTTCATTATTCTTCTTGAATTGCGTAATGGGCAGCGAGTGCATCACAAAGGAATCTAGTCCACGGCTTTGGAGCTGTAGAGAAGGATCATCGGCGACAGCGTCATGCAGACGTCGACTTTGGCCTTGATTCCGGGAGTTTGTTATTGAACCAAAGTGACTGCAATGAAGTTGAAGAATCCTCTGATAGCTGAACAAAAGGAAGATGCAACAAACGACAGCAACCAATGCAATCACCATGGGATTCCATTGTGAAGGTTCAAAGCTTGAAGTTGGGGGCGGGCTTGGTGGCATACTGCTGCTGAGTGCAGAGTAGTATGAAGCTTTTTGCTTGGCTGATGCCCTTCAACTAATTAAATCTGCATGAAGAAAAAAAAAAGTTAAGAGAAGCCTTATTCTTGGAAAGAACCAAACCAAACTCTTGCTAGAAATTTTGAAATTAATGGTAACGATCAGCACAATGCAATTATAGTTATGACCAACAAAATTTTGTTGATGATTTTGAGGATAAAGACTTGCATTAAAACTTCCAAATGGCATTGCATGTCTACTCATTGTTGTTGTCTTCTTGGTGAGCAATGCAAACAAACAACTCCATTAGGTCATTCAGGAAGGTGAAAAACGTCAGCTTGTTCTTATTTTGTGTCAATGATTCCAATCTTCATTGGACAAGTAGCGAACAATGCTAATTTTTGTCTTTTTTGTTCTCATCACCATTCTCCAAGATTCCGTGGCTGCAGAAGGGATGGTCATTAGTATTAGGCTAATTAAACTTTTGCTGTGGTCTTGAAGTTGGGACATTGTACAAAAATTTCCCAGACAAACCTCGTCAGGGGACCTCACCTTCGCATAACACAATCCACTAATGAAATGCTTTAGTAGGAAGACGATGATATGGAATGCATCCCCAACCTCAGCTTGACAGCTTGTACACTGGCACCTCATAACTGCAGCATTGGTAAATTCTCACACATGTATGTGCATTCTAAGTTTTCTGGCTGTGCACTGGTAAATGCTTGTCAATATATATACAAACAGAACACGAAGGACGTAAGTTGTCTGCAATAGAACACGTCTGTTTCTATATTGTTACCTACCGTCTATGGCATGATGTGCTCAACTTAGTTTTCTCCATTTGTCATTTTTTTATTATTAGTTTATAAAAAGATCAAATTTCACTTTTTAAAAACAAAAATAAATGTGATTTATGTCAGATCCTACCTTTTTTTAGAGAAAAAAATGAATATAGATCAGTCATTTGTTTAACTACAAATGGGATCTTACTCTTTTGCCCTAAAAAAATGATCATGTGGGATTATGTGTTATTTCAAACAAAAAAATTAGTTAAAAATTTAAATTGTAACCAAATTTTGTTAACTTAAATTAATAAGGGACATAAAGTGAATATTTTTAAAATTCATTTGGCAGAAAAATCTGAAGGACGTTTTGAATGATTTTTTATTTTATTTTATTCGGCACATCCTCTACGAGACAATGAAGTACTTTTGACTTAAATTGCAACTCCACCATGTCGGAGAGATGCATGTGTTCATTCTCTGACGGTTTATTCTTCTTCACAAGTTGTCTTGTTTGATCGTCTACTTTTTCACCGGACAACCACTGACAGGGTGTCAACTATGGAAAAAAGGCAAAGCTAACCAAACTCTTTTTGATTGGTTCAACATTGAGAAAATGATCACAGAATTTCTGCGTACAAATATTACTTGGTTTTAACACAATAATGATAAGATATTACTAAAAGTTTCATAGCACCATAAAAATTTACATTTAAATTCATTCACGTAGACAAATCCTTAAAAAGATTTCAAGTCCAATGCAAAATCTCATGAGGAGAAACTCATCATTTCTGGATAACAACTGGGAGCGACATCAAGCCACGTCTGAAAGGTTTATACCTCGTTCAAGACTTTCGAGAGGAAAAACTATGCAGTGGATATAAAGTATATACCAGTAATTAGATTATGACAACCAAATTTCCAATTGCCCAATCAAATTGGATCAAATGAGTTTGAGACAAACACAAAAAAGGAAGAGGAATATCAATCAAAAGCTAAAAAGCTATGTCATTCGAACTAATCAATTGTATCGCATTTACACCACCAGCAATCTCATTTATACAAAATTGGAATGATAGCATCCTCCAAATCCTCAATAGAGCCTCTGCCTCTTACCCAGTGAAACATAAGTGTTTGCATTTGCTCCAGCTGATATCAACCTATCACTTCCCAGACAGGATCCAATAGGTCCGTTGGTAAAATTCAACATGGACGATGACAAAATTTGGGAAGAGGCACATGACATTTCAGCATAAGGTCGTGAAGTAAGTGATCTTGAAGCAAGAAGGCTCATATTTGTAGCACTTTTCATATTGATCATATCAGCATCACAACCTCTGATTGAAACCGGGGGAATGTGAAATGTCTGGAGCTGAGGAGGATTACGCCACCTAGGAAGTGGCCCGGCAACAAGAAGATTCTGAAGAAGTGGCCCTGCATCAAGGACAGCCTTGAGGAACTTCCCTTTCTGGGGCAAATTTTTCCCTTGGGCAAGATTATCAATCACCAAAGAGGCATGGTCAACTTTTGGAATTCCTGAAGGGAGCATGTTGTTGGAAATGATCCCCTTACAGTCTTGAATCAAGGGTTGGTTCACAAATGCAATGCTGCCTGAATCACCCATGTTGATGTTCGAGAGTTCCGGGGATGAGACAGCATCGAGAAAGGATTCACCTGGGGATGAACCGTGTGAAGGATAGTTGTGTGTTTCAGAGAAACTGTTTGACTCAGTTATGCTTGAATTTGCTTTTGCAGGCTTTACAAGAGGACTATCTGGTTGAAATTGTGGCAAGCCTGAAAGGAGCTCAGTTGAATTTGTTGAAGGGATGACTTTGTTCAGCATCTTTTGAAGTTGATCTCTTGCTTCATCTCTTTCTTGGCAAGCCATCTTCAAGAGTTGGATAAGTTGCTTCACATATTCCTTGTTTTTTCTCATTTCCTCATTTGCTTCCACCTTCAGTTGTTCAAGTTCAAGAGCGGTGCATAGCAGCTTCTGTTTCAAATCATCAACGCTCTGCAGACACAACCAAATGCGTAAGATATGGTAAAATTCTCGGGTAATGAGCAGTCAAGTTTCTGAACACATTCTATTTGTCCACTTTAAAGACTGAATTCAGACAGCATATAGGTTCCAATGAATGTATCAATCAACACAAACCAAGTGCAACATATTCATTTTCAAAAGTAGACCCTTTGCTCAAAGCCTTCATTTGAGAAAAAGTAGAAGATCAACTTCAAACTACAATAACAAGGGACATTGAGATCAGGCTAAACAACTTTGAAAATTTACTAGTTATTCAATGAACATAAAATTCGAACGTAGGGGCTAGGCATGGGGACCATGCATATCACAGGGCATCTCAGTCCCCCCAAAAAATATGATGATTAAAAAAAGAAAGAACAGAACACAATGATTTTTACCATTGGATGCCTAGCGTAAGAATAAACGTACATTAGACCGATAATGATTCTGTCTTGAATTGTCAAAAGATATTGATCAACACCGAAAAATCGACATTAAAAGTCTGTTTAACACAAAAAAAATTGTTTCTTTTCAGCAAATATGGGGAGCGCGTCACTTCAACAAACAAGAAACGTGCAAAGCACATGGACATTGACTCTGTCGTATATAGAAAACTGGAAACAGCCCAAAAGAAAAAACACAGAGTCACACCCACTCATATACACGTATAGTAGAGAAAGACTCGTGGTCTGGAAAAATAGATCAAGTCTTGTAAAAGACAGGTACACTGAACAAAAGACATCA